CTCTCTCTCTCTCTCTCTCTCTCTCTCTCTCTCTCTCTCTCTCTCTCTCTCTCTGTCTGTGTGTGTGTGTGTGTGTGTGTGTGTGTGTGTGTGTGCTTTGCTTTTCCTCTAGCCCGCCCTCTCTCACATTTCCTCCCCTCTAGCCCTCTAGCTTCCCCTTCCTCTCTCTTCTTTCCTTCCCTCCCTCCCTCCCAGTTCTCTCCCCACTCCCTTCCCCCCCTCCCGCAAACACACACACACACACGCTGCTCTTCCCCTCCCAGGTTTCACCGTACCTCCTCAGCGGGGCCTTTACAGAGAACTGCCGACATCCTTCAAGTGTATTACTAAAAATAGGTTCTTTCGACTCATCCCTACCTTCTCCCAGCAACTGAACGCTCTCACACGACTGAAGATGACGTCAGACGACAAAAGAAAAGAAAAAAAAAGAAGGAAAAAAGGAAAAAAGTGAAAAAGATTTTAAATTAAAAAAAAAAACAAGATGACCGTCACCACTGTGATACTGAAAGAAGCTGAACCTTCCCACCTCCCAAAGAAAAAAAAGAGGACGCACTGAGGTCAACGGATGTCCTTCTACCGCCTTCCCCCCCCAGCCTCCCCTCGCCCCCCCGCCGTTTACCGCCTCCCCCCCCTTCTCCCCTCGCTCCCCCCCTTACCGCCGTTTACCGCCGCCTCCTCAGTCCCCCCCATACCCCCCCGCTTACTTCTCCCCTTTTTACCCCCCTGCTTCTCCCCTTTCCCCTTGCCTCCCGCTCCCCTCATTCCCTACCTCTTCCCTCATCCCCTTCTTCCTCCCTCTCCTTAGCTTCTTGGCTGTCCGATACGTTTACTATCACCACAACGAGTTACACTTCTAACGCACAGAAGTAGCGCAAAACCAGGCAGGATTCGAACAGTCGTCATCACAAAAAGAAATGCAATGGAAACCAAGTAAGTATTGTAGACCAGGCTTGACAGTAGAATAATACAAGTTAATCAAGAAAACCGAATGGAAAAGTCCCAGCGCTATACACACACTAGGATGGCAATTTCACCCGCCAATCCGCTCGCTCCCCCCTGCCCTCTACTACCCATGAACGGCGCCTGACGGCGGGAAACTGCCAGCGTATGTGGCAAGTCACTGTGAGTGTACCTTATCGGCAATCCAAATTAGATCATACAGCTTTTGTCACATCAAACTCCTCTCTCTCTCTCTCTCTCTCTCTCTCTCTCTCTCTCTCTCTCTCTCTCTCTCTCTCTCTCTCTCTCTCTCTCTCTCTCTGTGTGTGGGGAAGGGGGTGGGTGGGTGGGTGGGTGTATGTCCGTAAGAATGAATGCAAGTATGTGCGTTCGTGAGTATGCGTGTGAGATTTTCCCGCCATTCTCTCCATCGCTTTGCCATTTCCCGCCATTCTCCAGCTCCAGCCGTTTTATCGATGCATCCTAAAAATAAGTCGTGTGCGTATGTGTGTCAATTTTCCAGCCACTCTCAAGTCCCTCCCGCCTTCCTTCTTTCCCGCAAATTTCCATCCCTCCGTTGTCGTCCGCTTTCCCGCCAGTCCTCCATCTCACCCTTCTCCTACGCTCTCCGCTTTCCCGCCACTCTTCATCCCTCCTTTCTCCTCCGCTATCCCGCCGCCACTCTGCATCTCTCCCTTCCCGCCGTTCTCCCTCTCTCCCGCGCTTTTACTTCCATGCTTGTCACATATCTCCTCCCATCGCTAATTACCTTCCTGGCTTCTATGATCCACGACACATCATCATCACAGGTCCCACCGCCCGTACCTACACTCGTTGGCTTCCCCCGCGCCTTTTCACCTCTCCCGCGCTTTTCACCTCTCCCGCGCTTTTCACCTTTCCCACGCTTTTCACCTTTCCCGCGCTTTTCACCTCTCCTGCTGTGCTGTTCACCTCTCCTGCTGTGCTTTTCACCTCTCCTGCTGTGCTTTTGACCTCTTCTGCGCTTTTCACCTCTCCCGCGCTTTTCACCGACTGATTACTTAATTAATCCTTCGCCGGACTGGTGGTCGATTGCCTTGACGACCTATCTGTTGCATACGGCGCGATATTGGACCAGGTACCAGGAACGACCCCGATTCTGGAGCGGAAGCGGTTCTCATCTCTGTCCCACGGCGCGCTGGTCTTTGCCGCCACGGTGGAAACCGGGCCTGGGGATCGGGCAACGCCACACGTGGCACCGGGTTTGGCAGGGACGGCCTTCACGACGGCGGGAGGGGAGTCCAAGGAGGTTGCATAAGGAGGCGGCTTGACCTTCTGCTCAATGCGCTGAGCCATCCTGCCACTTGGCTTCGGCTTTTCCTCCTTCTCCCAAGGCGCTCGGGCATCCATTTGTCGGGCCTGATACACGGCTTGATCGATCTCCGTGGCGTACGGTGTGTTCTTCCCTGCTGCTGCCATGCCGCCAAGCGTGGTCACCAACCCTATATTAGTCCTGGTATTCGTCAAGACAATCAATCAATTGAAGCAAGTAATCAATCAATCAATCAATCAGTAAAGAAACCAATTCGCATATACTGAAAACATTCACCAGCGTGGAGGCAATCCCTCTAAGAGTCCTGCTGTTCTTCAGCACACCCAAGCAATCAATCAATCAATAATCAATCAATAATCAATCAATCACTCAATAATCAATCAATCAATCAATCAGTTCGCAGATTGAAAACATTACCAGCGTGGAGGTAATCCCTCTAAGAGTCCTGCTGCTCTTCAGCACAATCAACCAATCAATCAGTCAATTAGTCAATTAGTCAATCGGTCAATCAATCAAACAATCAATCAATACATCAATCAATCAATCGGCAGACTGAAAATATTCATCAGCGTGGTGGCAATCCCTCTAAGAGTCCTGCTGTTCGTCAAGTCAACCAACCAACCCATCAAGCAAGCAAGCAACCACACAGGCAATCAATCAATCAATCGTTCGACGGCGTAGTTACCAACCTCTGCCCAAATTTTGATGTTGTTCAATCAGGCAATCAAGCAAGCAAGCAATCAAGCAAGCAATCAATCAACCGAAGAAATCAATCAAGCAATCAATCATTCCGCAGCCCTGACACCCGGAGGGAAGTGGAGACGACCTCCGCGGTTGAAAACCGGTCTCCCAATCCCGTCAAGAAAGGTGAAAATGAGAAGAGTGAAAAGAGGGCAGGGCGACCGGTCTGCAACTCGGGAGACCGGTCGTTGGGGCTAGCTGGCGGGGAGACCAGGGTTCGGAGAGCCAGTAGGTCCTCCGTCGTCATCCGTCCTACCGTAGATCAATTACCTGTCTTTGTGCCCCGCGATGTATCTTCTACCGGTCCTCCAGACTGCTCGTTTTCTTTGCGCTTCACCGCCACGACGACGACGCTTGCTCAAAAAGTATCTGAGGGCCTGTCTCCACCAGAAAGTATCTGAGGGCCTCCCTCCACCCTCCACCCTCCACTAACTACGCCCTGGCTCACCAAACGATTGAAAAGTGACCACTCGCATGTGTAATATAGGGTTTGGAGCCAGGGGAACTTGTGTGGAAAAATTCTCCCTAGTCAGTGTAGTTTTTTTGTGTTTGGGAAAATTTTCGATATGCCCCTGAAAGTTCGATGACTTTGCGGATTGCCCCTCGAACTGCCAACTTTTACCCTGTCGCGCCCCTCCTACAATGATTGAAGTTTCCAAAAAAGCCCTGGCGTTGTTTGGGCCCCAAATCTGTTCCATATGCCCCTACCGTTGAAGTTTCCAAACCCCCCTGGCGTCGCTTGGGCCTCAATTATGTTCAATATGCCCCTAGTTTCCCAGATTTGCAGTATCCAGTATGCCATAGTAGCTCCCCTCCCAGAGCCAGGAGAACAGCGGGGAGTGCAACCAACGGCTACAGGGGCATGCTGGAAAGGTGCACCCATCACTGACAGAGGCCTGCCGGAAAGTCCAGAGGCCCCCGGGTGCACGATAGGGTAAGTCGGCCATTGGAGGGGAAACCCGCAAATATATATCCAACTTTCAGGGGCATATCAAAATTTTTCTGTTTTTTTTTTTTTTGAAGTGAAGTATGGCGAGTTCCCAGTAATATATATTTTTTTTTTACAAAAAAAAAAACAAAACCAAAGGGCAACGACCTTGAGATGTCATCATTGAACTGACCCGTGGCCCTAGGTAATTCGAAAGTGACTGCATCTTGGATCTGTATTTTAACAGTTCATGGGTGTACCAATTGACTTACCGTGAGGGCACGGGTGCGCAGCCCGTAGTTCGTTTGTTTATGTGGTTCGGGAAGGGTAAGGTAGTGATTATGCTGTATGTATGT